GTCCAGAAAATTCCAAGAAATCTTATTTTACTCGTTTGTATTTTAGAACGATAGATGCATAAAGGGATTTTTTCAGGACTGCCTGGGACTAATTTAACTATTTGATTTCCGGTAAGTCATGCATGACTGCCTTTTAAAAATTATTCAGCTTCTCGAGCTGAAACGCTCTTTTCACTCCTAACCCGTTCAAAAAACGCAGTTTACGAACTACAGCAGAGATCATATTGTCTACCATTGCCGTCGAATTACCACCCCGTTCTTGCCCTTCGGCGATGGCCTTTGGTGTTTAACATACCAAAGTCAAAGTTGCAAGGCAGAAAAGTAGGCTGGCATAAGCCAATGCTTTGATCACGCGAGCTACGACTGAGTAGATAACTTGACAATATTACCGCCTATAGTTTAAGAGAAAAATATATATATAATGTGCAATCCAGTATCACTGCTCGTAGTACATTTCCATCAATCTAAGTTTTATGAACACACATGCATCTGCCTAAATTTTACCATTTACTATCAATTTGATTAGATATAAATGCAAACATATGATACATGTTTCTATCTACAAAAGGAAACTATTCACAGCCTTTTATCAAAATGTTATGCAGATGAAATTTAATAGTTCTCTTATGCTTTGCAAGTGCAAAGGGAAATACAGACACTCAAAATGTTTGGTTCACTAACGCCAACATGTTTGAACAAGTGAGAAATATTACTTATTGCGATTGATCCATTTCCCGTAAAAGCTAAAACCCTGTAATCCCGACAGAGATTATTTTCCGCTAGTAGCGCATAATTCGTGTGATCTGAGTGCATTTCTGTCGGTCTACCTACCGCATAGTCAGAAATGCACACAAACTCCCGCGACGGCTTCTCAAACTCAGCCGTCATGCCTTTTCCTCCCTTTATTATCATGTAAATCTTCTTATAAATCACGCCTAGACAAGTTGAAGCAGCTATGAGCAAACAAAGACATTTTGGTTACTAGACCAGACAAAGGAACGAGTGTCGTTCTGATGAACAGAACGTAACCAAGATGCAGGCCATACTAGCAGACCAGAAAAAAATAACGAAAGTAGACAGAGAAAAAGACTGTACGGAGGAAGTAGGGGTACAACCGACCGGCTGCTTAAGAAGACTCCACACGGCAGGATTCAAAAGCGACCGTGACCTTGAACGGCTGCGGCCAGTAGGCACGCCCATCCCCCGTTTGATACCCTACCCAAGATCCACAAAGACGGCCTGACAGTTCGTCCGATCTTGGACATGCGAAACTCACCTTATCATACGATAGCGAAGTGGTTGGCAGATAAACTTAATCTCCTGCAGCTGCAACTACCGCCAAATAGCTATCAAGATACATTCCAATTTATCGACAGTGTCAAAAACATGAACTTAAAAGGCATGATAATGCTCTCCCTAGACGTATTATCACTATTTAAAAACGTCCCGGTCACAGAGACTGTAGACTGCATTTGCGAATTCATTGTGGCCGATCAGATAGAGGTAGGAATACCAACTGCTGCATCAAAGGAACTACTACTAAAATGCACATTAAATGTGCAGTTCCTTTTTGACAACCACCTATATAGACAACTAGACGGCGTCGCTTTGGGCTCGACTCTCGGACCTCTCGTGGCTAACTTCTTCATGAGCAAGCTGGGAAAATCGCAACTCAGCAAGCCGATCCATGACTTAAAACACTATGGTCGATATGTCGATGGCATCTTCGCCATCGCTTCAGCAGTAACCCACGTAAATACGCTTCTAAGTACTGTTAATTAAGCACACCCTGCATTAAGTTCACCTTGGAGGTGGAGACGGCAGGTTCGCTTCCCTTCTTCGATGTCCTCCTAAGTCGAAGACCTGACGGCAGCGTCCGAAGGAGGGTTTATTTTAAGAAAACCTGGTCCCAACAGTACACAAACTTTAACAGTTTTGTACCGGTCCAGCAGAAGCGTAACTTGATCAGCTGTTTAACTTAAAGAACCAGAAAAAGCTGCCCGGCAGACACTATTGAAATGGAGCTCCAGAAACTCCAGGACCTGCTTCGGGAAAACGCGTATCCGGACAGATTCATCATGAAGAATGTGATGGAGCAAGAACCAAAACCCACTACACCCACTATAGAAAAGAAGACCCTAGTCCTTGAAGTTCCCTTTTAAGGGGACGCAGCAAGCGAACTTCTCAGCAGACTTCTCAACCAAGCCGTAGCACGAACCTTCCCAGCAGCAAACGTCCGGTTGTTACTCTCAACAAACCCGGTCCTGCATCGCGAAGGTAGAAATAAGCGACCAACTTGGACCACTTCTCTGTGCATATACTCATTAACTTGTTCCTGTGGAGCAGGTTATATCGGTCGCACGAGTCGGCGCTTATCAAAAAGAATACGGGAGCACCTCCCGACATGGCTGGCCAAAGTCGAAATCAAAAGCAACAATAGCTCTATCCTTCCCCACATAGTTGACTCCGGAAATCGTGTGGACCCCAGCGAAGCCTTTAAGGTAATTTACAAGGTCCCGCCAAA